TCATCTGTCCTCGTGACGTCAACACTGTACTTGGGCCAGGAGAGAGTCACGTGGTTGTTAACCTGACGTCACCGCAGTCCAACTACGAGACAACCATTGAAGACGGCTATGTCCTGGGCGACAACAACTTCACCATCGGGCAGACCAAGGTGGTGTACACCGCTGCTTCACCGTACAACGACGAGACGTCTTCGTGCACCATGAGGGTCCGCGTTCTTGGTCAGTATTAAGGGTACTTTAAAAAATAAATTCACTCATCATTACGAAAGCAAAACAAGAAGTAGGAGATTTCATACCTCCGCAAAATGTTAACAGTTTAACAGTTAACACACAGTCACACACACACACACACACACACACACACACACACACACACACACACACACACACACACACACACACACACACACAGACAGAGACACACACACACACACACACACACACATAAACACTTGGGTAATGAAAAAGAAAACGTCTACATGCAACATCCATACCCTATACATCTAATGATGATGGAAACTGCCAAGGAATATGAAAGATGAAAGCTACCGCACCGTTAAAATACGTTTTTTTTGGTGGTCACTGGTCTATGTTTTTTTCAGCCTTTATTTAACCTTGAAAATGTACAGTACATATGTGTAGCAGTACAACTCTTCGGCCTGAGCCGTTTTTCAAGAGGTTAAGGGGAGGTAGGTCAGGGGTCTTTGCAAATTCTTCAGTTCAGTTACAATCAGTCGTAGAATTACAATATAAATATACACAAAGTATACAAAATCCAAACACTACCTCGGTTCGTATATCTCATCAGTATCAATCATCCAAATTTCAGTTCACAAATTTAGTCATTCTAACATGTTTATGACATGTATCTTGAATGAGCTCTTTCGTCTTTCGACTATAACAGACACTGAGGCGCCAACAGTCAAGTTCTGCCCAGAGTCCCAAGTGATTGAAACTGTGAGTAGTGAGCCAGCCATCGTCACCTGGGACGCCCCAGAGTTTGTAGACAACGTTGGAATACAAAGCGTCACACACATCGTGGAACCAAACAGGTGATGGGGTCTCAGAGTTTTTCCTTAGCTTGTATAAAATATCACTCATTCATCAGTATATAATAATTTCATCAGGCTGGTGAATGATTGAATAGCAAAGATTTATATTCACCTAACCACTTGTTTAACACAATAATAACCTTTATTGTACATTCATGCCCTATCGGGCTAAGTACAGGTGAACAGGTAAAATCATGGCGGTCGGTTGCTAGGCTAAAAGTCGCATTACTAGGGAGGTATCGGGTTACAGAACGCGTTCGAACGTGGCCGCGCGGGAGTCCCAGGCCGGCCCGGGGGTAACGGGTAAAATTTGAAAATAACAAAAGTAATTGGAGAGTAAATACTCGTCAAAATAAAATGTAATAAGTGATTTTGTTACCTCAAATGTTATTCTTGCACTGCCTTTGCTCCACTTTGTGTACATTTGCTTCCAAATGAGATCAATTTCGGATTTCAAAAAGGGTTCACGAGAACCAAACAACTGATTTTAAGAGGCCCCGAAAATTAAAAATAAGGTTAGATTTTTGGATTTTTAGAAATATTACAGTAAATTTAAACTTCCTGTCTTAGGATTTTTTTATTTTTTCACTAAAACTCGACTTACAGTCAAAAGAAGAGCTAAAAACGCAGTGTTTTAACTTTAAATATCGATAATTCATAATCGCGGCCATATTTAAAAAAATCCCTAAGACAGAAATCTGCGGAAATCGTTGCTCTTCCAAACAAGCCCTCAATGAGGTAATTTGAGCGATTTCTGGGAATGGTTAAAATACCATGTTTGCACGCATGCTGTGCCACTTGGATATTGGGGACCTGGATTTTATAACAGCGTCAACAAGAATTCTGACCTTCAAGGTCACCCACGATGACGGCAGTAGCTTCGTTACATGTTACATATCCACAATAAAATCACGGCATAGATGTAATGTTTTGAAAACGGTTCATATTTGTGAAAGGTGGATTTTTCCTGTTCCGTGGTTCCCAAGTAACAAAGGGCTTGAAGTAGCCGGTTGTAGCGGCTTTACTGTAAATGACCGCGGGTAACCCCGGATCGAACGCCCGTTCTATTCGAATGACGTCATATCGAACAAGATTCGCGGGTTCGGGGGATTCGATCTCCATAGTAGCGGAGTGGGACTTTTGGGCCCAAATCTGACCATCGTGAATAGGTAATATACATGTTTGTAGTACAAACAGCTCTAAAACTACTCTAATACAGAGGTTCGGCTTCTTCTCGTTTCTTTGTGATGTTAAAAATATAATTTGAAATGGGTTCGTAAGGTATATGATGATCAAAGCGCATAAGAAAGATAAATTTTTCAATATTAGACAAGTATTGGAAGTATGGAAACGTACTTGTAATATATCTAAAAAGACCATTTCTTTCATTACTATATAAACCACAATCAATAACAAAGTGGACTTCATCTTCTACTTTGAACAAAAAGCCAACGTTTCGATGACCGCCTCAGGGCTTCGTGCAGAGTAAACCAGTCGTATTAGCCACGACGAAGATGATAGGTGGTCATCGAAACGTGGCTCTTGTTAAACAAGTGTTTATGACTGAAGAACTTTGCTCTTCAGTTACCCATTCATGCATTCAATGATACACTCATCTGCCAATCTTCACCCTCACAAAATGGCGTCAGAGATGGATCTGATAAAATGCTGTCAATATGGACGAACAATTCACATGCTTTCCTTTGATATCCATATTCTAGATAAAATATGCCAGGCCGCTGGTTCAGAATGCACGAGCTATACTGCTACGAAAAAAGAGAGTTTGTATGCATTATTTTGTGATGGCCTTTGACTGTTTTCTTTACGCTCTTCAAGGCCCTTCACTTGGGGGTTCTACTACGTGAAGTACATCGCTGGCGACGAGCACCGCAACTTCGCTGAGTGTGTCTTCACTATCCACGTCAAGAGTGAGTACTATCAACAGCAAAGTCAAAGTATAGTAAACTTACGAATTCTGTATGCTCTTTTGAGTCACCGAATTTGGAATAGGTTTCGTTTAAATAAATATATAGCCTGGTAACCATCTCATCGGGAGTTCCCAGTTATATGTACGGTGCTAAGAGTGTTTCCCGCCCGCCCGGATCTATTGGCGCCGGCTGGGGGGTTTCTGAGGTGTTAATTTCATTCCGTTACTCGGCGGTAAGATTGTCTGAAAAGATAGGATGTCAAAGGACTACGCTTGGTAGTACTGTGGCCGGTAAGCACTTCTAAGACGGTAAACGTCCTTTACTGCCAGACTCTTAAATCCTATGTACGTCCGAAAATAATTCAATGTAGTGAGTACAACGTAGGATATTGGGTTTTTCTTTTTACACAAGCGGTAACAACTCTCGCCTGGTTAAGTTTTGAGGTCTATCAGACTCCTTCCTCAGAGCTTCTGACTGATTGTGTTACGATTGTGTTACCACGTTCCTGCCAGACAAGTTGGTTTGTAGATCAAAACTTTAATCTGATTATTTTGGCTTGTAGACAACGTCGAGGATGGTACTTATTTTGTTTCTAATGTACCATGAACACCCGACACTTCCACTTCGAAAGCAACCCTTAAAGCACTGGTGGTAAGGTACTGGCACAAGCAATAAGCTGAATATACTATCATTGTATACCATTGTATATTATCATATTATCATTGTATATCAATGTCGTGTTGCTTTGTAGTTCTAATTGTTTATTGCTCTGTAGTTTTATGCTAGTTGTAGTCTAATGGATGCAAGTTTTATGTTATGTGCCTTAATTTGTATTACATATGTATACTCTGTGTTTTATGAATCCAGGAAGAATAGATTTGTTATCTAGTCTAATGGATATCTAATAAAACATCAAACATCATCCATGCCTTGACAAACGGAATCTTTCTACAGAGAAGGAGTGCAAGGATCTCGTGCCGCCTAAGAACGGCCATCTCACCTGCGACAGTTGGTTCCTGGGGAGGTTTTGCCAGCTGAGCTGTGACTCGGGCTTCACACCCTTTGAAGAAGATGCTGCCGAGATGTATGCATGCGACCAGAGCGGAGAATGGAAACCGACAGCAAAGGTTCCAGACTGTGTCGGTGAGATGTCAAACTGTTTTTTTTTGTTTTTGTTTTATTCATCTATCAAAAACAATAAACATACAATGTAGTGAACCATCCTTTACATAGTAATAATCATAATGATGAAATGATAACAATAATAATTCAACTCATATCTGATCGTAATAATAACTGATCATAAACTGTTTTGTCACTTCAATTCGCATTGATTGGAAAGTACATCAATTATTTTCTATTATTTGACCTCTGATCTCCAATGCACTTTTATTTCTCTATGCTGATTTTGTTTCAAGTTTGTCATAATTTCAGCGTAATTTGTATGTTTATTTATTATCATTATTTCTAAAAGTAATTATTATTATTATTATTATTGTTATTTTATTTTATGTTGCTGGACTCCAGGAAGAATAGTATGAAGTTTACCATACTAATGGAGATCTTAATAAACAAACAAACAAACAAACAAACAAATAAACAAACAAACAAACCTGCAATTGTCTCAAGAAAGTATGACTAGCATTGTAGTCCTTGGAGTAGACAAAAACGTTATTTTTTTATTTGAGCACCTCTTGTTCATCTGACATATTGTATCAATGGTGTACACAAACCTGTATCTCAGAGGATTTTGGTTTCAAAGTTATCTTTTCTGTGGTAGATAAAACGTACAAAGAATTTGAATATCCATAGATACTGTGATGAAGATGATGTAAAAATCCTCCACGACTGTCAGTTTATTACCTCCTGCTCACCATTCAACAACATTTTCGGCAGTCTCACATTGTAAGAACAAAGAAATTAATTCTCAACGATGGTCCTGTAATATTGACTAAACAAAAGATATGGTATGTTTAGAGTTAAAACTTTTGGTCCAACACGAAAAGTTCTCTCACCTAGAGCTTTCGACCAGTCACTCTGGTCTTCCTCAGTAACTACCAACACAGATGAACGTTCATGATATATAGTATAAGAAGATATGGTACTTGGCAGCTGTAACAGCTAACACTGTTACACTTTCATGTCATATCTTTATCGTCCTGCAGAGGTTTCCGACCAAGTAGCAGCGATCCTCGGAAAGATGTGCAGACCTGGTGCGGTGACCAGGCAGAGGCGGGGAAAGACAGTATGTGGTAAGAGGTACCATCTTCGACACGTTCTTTCATCAACAGCAACCTCTAGTACCATCAACAACACTGAATGTATACTATAAGATGTTGATGAGTACATTGCGAATTGTCACTGATCCTCTCTGTCTTTTCTAAGAAATGCTTTAAAAAAACTTTATACAGGAGAGAAGGTAATGAAATACGCACTGTACTAGTATTTAGGGAATATTGCCTGGCCAATTTACTGTCTTTGCGGCCACCGAAATATCAGATTCCTCTTGCAGATTAAGCAAATGTAGATGTTCGCTTAACAGTTCTATGATACTTAAATCTTCTCCACAGTGAGTTGCCCATCGGGTACATCTTGGACCGTTACCACCGGAGGGCCGAAGTGTGTGGACTGTCCGGTCGGCACTTACCAAAACGAGACCGGCCAGACTGTCTGTAACAACTGTCCAAACGGAACCAACACTACCGAAGCCGGAGTCAGAAGAGAGGAAGACTGTCATGGTAATTTTATGTTTTACAATGAAAGTCAGATTTGAAGATTTTTTTGTTGATGCCTAACACTGTTCTTGTTGACTGAACATCATACACATCTAAATTACATTTTGTTAATTATGACAAAATTCTAAAGACCGTACTTGTCCTGAGAATATAAAAGATAGAG